ATTTTTTTTTTCACCTCCCTAAGGCCAATTTCAATTCACCTCCCTAAGGCCACGAAGGCCACTTCAATTGAGGAGGCTACTTTAGTTATGGTTATAACCCACTTAACTTTTTAACTCAGAAACACAAACCTTGATGAAAAATGCCGCTGCGTGTAGAAACAAGTTAAGCACTTTGTTGTTTAGATATCTAAATTACTAACAAAATTTTAAATTAAGAATTCTAAGTAAACTGCATATGATTATTTTCTTTTTTTAAAATTAAAAGATTGTGTAATGTTTTTTTTTAAAAATAAAAACAACAAACTCATTTCTATCCAAATATAATGAAACCTATAAAAATATAAACAGTATTTATTTTGAAATAAAAAACAAAATTGAAAAAGATAGAAAAAAAAATCTAATGTTTTTTTTTTACCAGTTTAAATAGAACCAAAAATACAAAATATATATTACTCATTTTATTAAAAAACTATTGACCATAGAGAGTAACGATAACTAAAAATTCAATTTAAATTTATTTATATAGACACAAAAAAAATAAGTTAAAAAGAGATTTATTGAAGGGCGTTCTTTATTGAAGAGCGTTCTTTATTGACAGGTTGTAGATGTATGACTACCAGTGTTTTCAGCAATCATGACCATGACTATTATTTACTTGCATACAATTTACATGTTTAAAATCTATTTTATTCTGTTTAGTAGGTAGAGATAAAGGCAGTAGTGTTGCCTGTTCAAAATGATTATTGTGTAATAAAATTTCAATGGAATGTGCTAAAGTAAGTTTAAAAAATTAAACGCTGCTCTAAAATTGTATTTATTATTTGAAAGTTTTCTTTTCATAGTAGAAAAAAATAAAAAATTTAACTTTTTTAACTGAGTTTTTCTAATATTTTTTAAAATAATTGTCTGGCTTTGATTTGGGTCCAAGTATTTGTTTACCAGTACCAATTTTAAGTTGTATTGTTTTATATTTTCAAATTTTTAATAATTAGTAAATTCATCGGTATCGGCATCAGTATCGGCCTTCAGGCCTTGTGATGAATAAAAACTGCGCGACGCATAAGCACGACCTGATTTTTGACGTCATTAAATTCTTTTTATTTGCTTTTTATATTTATCAACATTAACTGCACTTATTTACTTAATCACCGCAAAATTAATTTAAATCATTAATGTAGAAATGTTATTATTTAAAAATGTTTTGGAATGTTTCGTTTTTTAAAATGTAAAAACATTTGCTTATTTTCTCGACGTTTGACACGTTTTGTCTATACCAAACGAATAAAAAACATAACTAAACATTTAAAAAAGATTATAAAATATGCTAATATTTGATTTTTTTTTTCTCAAATATGTAATTTAAAGTTTTTCAAATAATTGTTTTTTCTTTTTAAAAAGTCAGAGAGTAATAAACTAGAAATTTTAATATTGTACAATTAAAAACTGTGCAATAGCTAATATTTTTACTAGCGATTTTATATAATATTTATTTATTTTTATTTATTTTCATAAAGGGGTTGATAAGCACAATCACTCGTATTACTAAAAAACTTTAACAAACGTTTTGAATAGATTTTTAATGTTTACAAGGAATTTTATTTTTGGTAAAATAAAATAAAATAAAATGTTAGCATAAAAATCTTATAGGTATAAAAGACATATTTCAGCGAAAAAATTATTATTAAAAATTATTCGAAAAACGTTCTATTTTTCAGCAGCTGTTCTTGAGCATGCTTCATTGAGTTTCAGTAACTTTTAACAAAAAAGCAATTGTTATTATTTAAGTAATTTTTTTCGAGTTACTTTTTACAAAAATTTTAATAACTGTACTTTTTTATTGAATCAAGTAGAATACGTTTTAATATTAATCCTTTTATTTTTTTTTCATTTGCGCTTACCAATTTTTAAAATGTTTCCTCGAAATTACTTTTAAATATTTTAAATTTGTCTAACAGTTAGTAAATATTTTTAAATCTATAGAATAATTTTAAAACCTAACTAACCCCCGTAAAACATTTATTTAAGTTAAAAATCTAAAACTAAAAGAAAGTATTTTTGTTCAATTTTATCGACAACTTTGCTATTGCTGAATAATTTTATTAAAATGTTAGCTTAAAAAGATTTAAACTTTTTTTTCATCTGAATTTTTTCTACATGTAAATAATGAGCATATTTATTTTTTTTGTAATTCAAACTTTTATATCAACTGTGTGCGGTTTTTAAAATACTTTATTAAATGTTAAAATAATCGTAAATTACTTCATTAAAATTCCGCTCAAAAATATCTTTAAATATACTCAAACAAAAATTTTTTTCTCTGCGCAAATAGCCCTAGCTACACGCAAAATCGCTCTTGGACGACGTAAAACTCACATCGCTCGACGCTTTATCACAAGGCCTGGGTCTTTTCCCATCCATCGGCATTGGTATCAGCATCGGCTAAAAAAGTGATATCGGTACATTACTAATATATATGTATGTATATATATATATATATATATATATATATATATATATATATATATATATATATATATATATATATATATATATATATATATATATATATATATATATATATATATATATATATATATATATATATATATATATATATATATATATATATATATATATATATATATTAGAGCAGCCACGGCGCAGTGGTTAGAGTTCTGGCTCAGAACCCAGAGGTCCGGGGTTCGACGCCATCTCCAGCCCAACAAGCGACATTGGTACGAAAGGAGGCGTGAACTTCCTGTTAAATGCTCTCCCGCGGTGCTCTATGATAAGACCGTAAGGACTTCTGGGAGCACCTAAATACATACAAAAAATATATATATATATATATATATATATATATATATATATATATATATATATATATATATATATATATATATATATATATATATATAAATTGTAAAATGGGTGCATGGTGGAAATTTCTTATAAGTAAGTTACTGATAAGAAATTTATATTAATATGAATGAAAGTCAAAATAAGTCAAAAAGCAAATGTTTAAATTGTTGACTGTTAAATTCAATACATTTTGCCTAACAATAAGTTAACGAATACCACACAAAGTTGGACACCTTTTTTCACAATGTTATAGGGATTTTCAGTGCTGTAATAAACGCTGTTGTGTCAATAAACAGAGCCATCTAATTTGAAAACTGCTTCATCTGACCAAGTTATAGAATCAAGAATGTCATAACTTTGTTTGCAAATTGCTAGCATTCTTTCACAAAATTCGACTCACAAACATAGTCATCTTCATTTAGTCACGCTGACTGGGCTTCCTGTTCTTTTAGCATCAATTGCTGTTCCAGTTTTCTCAAACTTAGCAACTAATTCATGAATACATAAAGATGAAGGAGCTGCAATTTTAAATTCTTTACGCCAAGTACGTTGAATTGATACTGGAAATTTTAACAAATAATGATTCTTTTCAATCAATATTCTTTGTTCCAACGAATAGCTGTTGCCACTCATTGTCTAAAAACAGAAATTAATAAATGGTGGCATTTTTATAAACTTATATATATTAAAAAACTAATGCATTGTGATTAGCTAGTTTTCTTTTTGTTTGTTGCTATAATCATTCGTTTTCAGTAACCTACTTATGGCCAACTCTGTATATAAAATTGCACAATAAGGTACTGCAGATCCAGCTAATTCTCTAAAAACTAAACTAGCCTTTGTTTCTTGGGGTTTCTAGGGTGACAAAAATAATTTTGGTAGTTTGTAGAAGCAGCTTTAGTATATTTTTTGTTAAAACAAAGGTACTTAACAATTTTTTGTTTCATCCATGATATGAAGGTTCTTTTGCAAATGGTTAGGTTCAAGGAATGACATCTGAATGGAGCAGAATCAGTTGTTAAATTAAATAAAACACAATTTTTCTGAAACCTTATCTTAGTGTGCTTGCCCTAGCTAATGAAAAATATGAAGAGGAAAAATGTTTTACTTATTTTCTTGACCTCAAAGTTTAAGTAAAACAGACTTTGTTTTACATATTTTCTTGACCTCAAAGTTTAAGTAAAACAGACTTTGTTTTACATATTTTCTTGACCTCAAAGTTTAAGTAAAACAGACTTTGTTTTACATATTTTCTTGACCTCAAAGTTTAAGTAAGACAGACTTTGTTTTACATATTTTCTTGACCTCAAAGTGAAATTTAAAAAATTTTATTAAATTTCTATTAAGATTACTTGATTGAAATTTTGAGTTCTTCTTAATTAAAAATGGTTTACTTTAAAACGCGTTTTAAAGGCCTCTGATTCATGTTTTCTATAGTTGAATCATTTGTAAACTTAATAATACAGACAGCTAGTTCTATTATTTTTAAACATTGTAACATAACTCTTCTTTAATATTTTTTATGCCCCGTGCCCCTTTCCATTTTTATATTTATGTTATATAATTATGTTTATAATTTATAATGTTTATAATTTATGTTATATAATTAATATATTAATATTATGGACAGCTAGTTCTATTATATATTAAAATGATAACATAACTCCTCTTTAATACTCTTTATATCCCATACCCCTTTTTATTTTTATGTTTATGTTATATACATAAACATAAAAATAAAAAGTTTATTGTTTTATTTTTATGTTTATGTTATATGTTGTATATTATATTTGGACGCCTTTAAACGGAAAGGAACCAAGTGCCATTTTTAACTATATATAAATTTGACAAATCTCTATAGATTTGTCAAATTTTTATAGTAATAAAAATCTGCTTTAACTTTAGTTAAATGATGTATCCAGTATACTGTAATATAAGAAAATGTTAAAAAAAAAACATTTTCTCTTTCTGTTACAAAAAGAGAAAATGGTTTTCTTTCTGTAACAGAAAGAGAATCATTTTCTCAAAACCATACAGATTGCGCCTTGGTTCCTTTCCGTTTAAAGGCGTCCGATTAAACAATATGCAAATTACACGATACAGTTGAATGTTTAATATTTAATATGTTTATATTATAGACGAGAATGAGTATTGAAAAATAATGAAACCGTTCAACATTCTAACACGATTTATAACAACATCAATAGTTTTAATTAAATGCATTGACTTGTAAATTTTAATTAAATGCATTGACTTGTAAATTTTAATTAAATGCATTGACTTGTAAATTTTAATTTATACATTAAATTAGTAAGTTAAATAATTTAAATGATGTTACACTTTTGTAATTATTTTTGAAAAAATATTAATAAATATTTTCTTATGCTGTTTTTAAAAATATATTGCTGGATAATTTTTTTTAAAGTGAAATGTGATTAAATAACTTTTCCGCCTACTCTAACAATTGATGCAACTTCCTATGAAAACTCAAAAATAAATGTAATTGATTCTTATCTCGCAACTTCCTATAAAAACTTAATCTAAACTAAATATAATTGATTCTTATCTCGCAACTTCCTATAAAAACTTAAAACTAAATATAATTGATTCTTATCTCGCAACTTCCTATAAAAACTTAAAACTAAATATAATTGATTCTTATCTCGCAACTTAAAAACTTAAAACTAAATATAATTGATTCTTATCTCGCAACTTAAAAACTTAATAAATCAAAACTAAATTGATTCTTATTTTGCAACTTCCTATAAAAAATAAATCAAAACTAAATATATTTGAGTTGCAGATTAGTTAGCGTTAATTTGTTAAAATGAGTCTGTAATATGATTGAACTATCCTTATTTAATATTTTCAATTCGCCAATTAAATCAGATAAAGTTCTAGAAAAAAAAAATCATAATTTACATAATAATAGTTGAAATATTTTTCAACTAAAAACCTTTTTAAAAAAAGATACTAATAAACAATTAGGGGGGGGGGAGGGAGGTCATGCACACCACGGCTCCCCTTTTTGTTTCCTTCCGTGTGCCCATATACATATCTATCTATCTAACAATATATAAATTCCAACAAACTGCAAAAATACAAATATTTTTTTTTAAACATACTTCTTTAAGGTGGCAGTATCCTCAGAATTCTAAAATTTATAAATATTATAAATCAATAAATATACACTATAATAGTCATTTTATTTGCAATTTTTAACAGAATTGTGGCTTTGAAAAGAGCCTAGTTTTTAAAGTAAATAAAACTGTAACATCCATAGAAAAAGTCGAATCTTTAGTACGCGATGGAAACCACATATAATGTTATCTAAAATAAAATCAACCTCTCAAACAGCCATACCTATTTAATTAGGATACCCTATGTGTCCCGGATAATAAATAAATATATAACTATTATCACAGTAAAATAAAAATACATTAGATATTTAGCACAATAACTGAAAAACACATTAAGAAACATAATCAATCTCTAGATAAATATGATCTAACTGATTTAATATTGAAATGAAGAAGATCAACAAACATCAAAGCAAGCGTTTAATACTCATCACGTTGTGTAACCTTGCAATTATAGATAAGATAAAATATATATAATTAAAAAAAAAAATTACAAATATTATGACTTACAAGCAATTACTGTATAATAAATTAACATTTAACTGTTAATTACTGCAAAATAAATTAATATCTAACTATAATAACATCTTACTGAATTATTAAATATAATCTTGAGGAATTTAAGACAGTAGCAAATTGCAAACCTTGCAATAACAGATAAATAAAAATACATTAGATATTAAACGCAATAACTGAAAAACCCATTACAAAATAGAGAAGAGGAGAAGAATTTCCTATATAAAATACAAAAAACAAAATCACCTAACTTTTGATAAACAACACATTTTACCATTACAAAACAAAAAAAACATTAAAAGTTGATCCTTCAATACTGTACAAAAAAAAAAAAGATACCTGTTTCAGATGTAAAGTCTTGAAACAAACCATTTTGCAGACATTCACATGTCAAGCTAGAACACAAAAATATCTTCAATATGGAATAATTATAGATCAAAGTACCACATGTGTGAAAAAGCATATGTATTCTGTTCCCTCTATAGCGTGGTAGCAATCTTCTGGGCAACTCGTGTTGGTCCAAAAAGAACCCAAAACCCTTTAGATCACTTATGAATAACATAAAGAAAGTTAGTTGGCTATTGCAATGAGAATGTGAAATAAAAACATGCTATAATTATAACATTTATTTTAGTTTAACTCAATTAAAAACAATTTTATTCACAAACCTACACTATATTAAAGTAAAAGAATTATAAGTACCTTTTGCATCCTTGTAGCGAAGTTTGTATTGCAGAATTTTGTAGAAAATGAATTGTGTAGTAAATGAAACCAGGAACTTAACACACAAGCATGTCGTATATAAGTGTTCTAATATCTGCTGAGTAGTATTTTTGAGTTTTGGTGTTTTGTGTTACTTGCTGAATTTCCTCCAACTCTTCCTGTAAAATCAGTATCAATGTCATTTTGCAGTACAGAATTACAAGTTGTTGGCATAAAATTGCCTTTTGATAAGAAAACTTGGTTTCGTTGAATGTTAACTGTTGTTTCAAACAGAAAAATTAAATCTCTTTCTCGTAACCTTTTTCTGGGACTTAACTAGTCAGCTCTCTAACTGGATAGTGGTTCACGAGAAGAGGTTTCTATAGCAGGACCAGATAAAAAAGATAAGTGACCACTGTTTGATACAGATAAAACACTGATTCGTTGAAAGGGAAATGAAGAACATATAGCAATGTGAATTGAGGTTGCAATTGATTGCGATGTTTGTGCCATAGCAGATGTTATTATTTGGTATGCACAGAGCATGTTGCAGATGTCAATAAATTGTTTTGAATCTCGTGAAAAATGGTTTACAAAGTTTTGATGTTTTAACTAGTTGCAGAATCTAATTAGTACAAACTTTGATGTTAAAATAATTATTGATTACTTCTACAGTTACTTTATATGAATTCTTGTTAGTTGCCAATATATGCAGTAGACGTCCATTGCTACAAACAATATATAAATGAGCTGGTAGTGTAAAATTACAAGTTAACTAACCTTTAGCTTTACCATCAATGTTTTCTTTTTAGGTCCCACGATGCACTAAATCAGGCAATCATAATACAACTATTTAATTGGGTCGGCTTTTAAACACAATTAACTAATTTAAAAAATCACTATTAACCTATAAAAAAAATTGAAGTTAGTTACAAGGCAGCTTTGAAACTGATTTTGGTGTGAGAAAAGAGTAGGCAATAAAAAATATATACAATAAATAAAACAATAAATGATTATACAATTATTTAAAAAAATCAACAGTATTCTTAGTATTAAAAGACTATTTTTAAAAAGTAAAAAGTTTAATGAAAGTTCTTATAAAACATTTCATTATTATGAATAGAAAAACAAGTATACTGAATGCTCACTGGCTAACACGGGCAAATTGCCCCCCTCCCCCGCCTTAAACTATGTAACGGAAGTGGAAATACATACCTCCACTGCACGATAAAATAGGGTGTTTGGACATAAATATTTTTTAATGAAATTTGGCAGGCACATAGAAAATAGATTTATACTGTTGACTGGAAAATTTTAAAAGTGTAGCAACATGCCTTCAACATTAAATCACCTCCAGTACAGAAACGAAATTTCAAAACTTTATAAAAACCACTGGTAAATGTAAAAAAAACAACGGAATTTATTTCAAGAAGTGACAGTAACAGAACCAGTTTAATAAAGTGTAACAGTAACAGTAATTATAAAAAAAAGGTTGAAAATGTACCTCCACTAGGTGGAAAAATAGGGTATTTGGGCATAAATTTTTTTAAATGAAATTTGGCAGGCACATAGAAAATAGATTTATACTGTTGAATGGAAAATTTTAAAAGTGTAGCAACATGCCTTCAATATCAATGCACTTCCAGAACACGAACAAAATTTTAAATAGCAATAAAATCACTAAAAAACTTAATACTTGAAAAAAAAAACGTAATTTATTCAACATAAAACATTCTACTTTTTAAAAAAAAATCTAAACTGGTATAAAATTCTAAAAAAAAAAAACAAATAAATACATCCTTACCACACCGACTTCGAGCACGCTGTGAAAAAAAAGGTCACAGTTTTTAAATTATAAATCGGTGCCGTAAAAAGCCAGATACGCACGTACCTCACTGATCTCAAAATATAAGTTATATTTTGAGATCAGTTACGTACCTATAAAGAGTGATACAGAAAACAACAACTATAGTTGCAAATTTCAATAAAACTCATGTAACAAAATGCACCAAAAGTATTAATCAATAAACAAAAAGTAGTTTTAGAGTTGCAATCACCATCTCGTATTTTATATTAAAAATTTACAGTACAATTATGATACAATTTCCTTTTTAGTTGTATAGCAACGGAATAAACAAAGCGTTGCTATGGAAAAATAAAAAAATTTACTTATACCGCTTTATTAAAAAATAGTTTTTAATGGTGTTAGCTATTTTTTTTTCATAAAACTAATTTGAATTTTGTAAGTTACGATAGCTATATTATTTAAAAAAATTATAATTGAAAAAATGATTTTTTTGATTTTTAATAGTGATCTACCACCTTAAATAAAACTAAGTATACTTTTTTTCATAGACTTCACGAAAAGAAAAGAAAATATTCCATTAAAACTACCTGATCTTTAAATTGGCAACTTTAAAATAGTTAGAGAGTCATCATTAAAGTTTTTAGAAGTAATACTTGACAAAAACATGACATGGAGAGAACACATAAGGACAATTGATAATAAAACTTCGAAAAATATTGGCATACAATACAAAACTAAGCAAATCTTAAACCAAAACTGCTTAAAAATTTTATATTTCTTCCTCATACATTGTTATATAAACTATGCAAATATTGCATGGTGCAGCTCTAATGTAAGTAAAGTTAAATAATTGCTTAGTAGACAAAAACACACTGTCAGGATTATTTCAAATGCAGGTCGATTTGCACATTCTAAAGAACTATTCAAAAATCATCACATACTTAATGTTCTTCTGTTAAACCTTTTTCAA